ACTGTGTATAAATGCTTCTTTTGTTTGTGGACGTCTGCATGGCCGTATTTAAGGACAGCTAACTGGTGATCCGCTAACTCAGTGGTCACCATAGCCAACACCACCAGTATGCACCTGCAAGCTGACTTAGGCCTGGATATGGATATTACTCTCTAAATAGCCTCCTCAAGCAAAGTGTTGGCTCTTTTGTGCCTTGGACTCGTTGAGATGTCACGGTGTAGGCAAGGACATCTTTCAGCTTTAGCTCTGCAGGGTCTGGGTTAGGCAGAGCCGGGCGGTTTTAACCAGGAGCGTGCTCCTGCTGCGAGCCCCGCTGCTGCATGCTCCACGCCGATAAGGCCTTCAAAAGGGATGCCTGTTTTGTTGCTGAAATTTGGATACATCCTGCTTTAACATCCACGTACAGCAGTCCCTTTTCTGATAATGCAGCAGTTTTAAATATACTGTTTATCGAAATAAAGTGGACTCTTTTTTTTTCTGTGATGTTGCTGGAAAAGATGATGCTCTTGCCTTGTTCTGTGTCTCAGACCGGTTTTAGCCACTGAGACTTCAGTAGCACTGATTTTCCTGGAAGGTGGGTGAGGAGCATAACAATTTCCCCCTTGAATTTGAGCCTGTCCTGGCTGCAGCTGTGGAAGCAGGGTCAGATCCTGGCACGGGACAGCTCGGGTGCCAGCCCGTCCCTGGCTGGAGGACCACTGGGTCTGTGCAGCCCTTGCCACGGGTGCCACTATGTACAACATTTCCCATCCCGTGAGCAACTGAAAGATCCTCTTGTTGAGTGTTCCGTTGCTTCATGAAGAGCCCCGTGCCTGAGTTTGCTCCCATGTCTTCTGGCACGAATTCTGAGTAACTTGTCCTCCTCAACGAGGCTTTGTGTGCCGTGGCTGATGAGCGGCCGTGCCGGGTCCGGTGACACCTTCCTATAGAGAAAACTACAGCTGGGCTCTTCTGGGAGTGGGGCACTAAGCCTGCACCACCCCAGAAAGCTTAACTTACTTTTTTTTTTTTTTTTTTTTAAACTAAAAAGAAGCTCTTTCTTTCCTTAGCAGGAAATGGTTGATCTGTGCGTCGTTGCAGGTCTAAAATGGGAATAGCTGATAGTCAGCGATGTGCAAATGTCCGCCGGCATCCCTGTGGCTCTGCAACCCCTGCCTGGGCTTGCGCGGCTGCCCCTGCCTTGCCTGCCCCTCCTGGGGCTGGCGTGGGGGCTGTGGCCGCTGCTGGCCCCTATTTTAATTTCTAGGGCTTGGAGCTAATGTGGTCTGAAATTGTCTCTGCCTTGCTGCGGTGCGAGGGTGTTGGGGTCTCCCGAGCACAGCCCCGGCTGGCGCTGGGTTTTGCCTCTGCCCTTGCCCCTGCCTGCCTTTCTGCTCCCCTTCTTTCAGGCAGGCTGGGACCCTACCTTGGTGTACGGGCTGTCGGCAGAGCCTTGGTGCTACTACAACCATACAAATCCTTTTCTGCCTGAAGCTAATGTAGAGCTGAAAATCAATCTGTGGGTTTGTCTTAAATGCGGGTTCTTTCCCCCCGTTTTAAACAGTGCATCTTCTTTTCCTAAACTAACAGATCGCCTGATTTTTTTTACTTTTATTGCGGGCTTGTTATTTAGTCCAGATGTTTTCAGTTAAAAAAAAAAAAAAACAATAGTGTTTGTGAAGGCAGTCTAGTGCGTGGGAAGAGGAGGCTGCGGTAGCAGGAGGGCTGCAGCCTCACCGACCGCGTGTCCCTCTTCGATGTGGGAGAGGGCATCAGCAGAAGGTGGTAGGTGCCAGGCTGGAAGCAGCTGTGTGTAATGAGCTTTGAGGCCACCTCCAGCCAAGTGCAACCCAGCACGCTGCTGTGAGCCCTGATCTGCAGCACAGGCTATATTTGGTCTGAGATTACTCCCTGCTTGGCCTGGATTGGTCTCCATCGGGGCTCTGCGGGGTGGATTTCTTTTCCCCTGGCTAACATAAGAGCCCCCATGCAGCGTGCCTCTGTATTTTCCTCCCTTGCTGCCTGCTCCAGCCTGCCCGAGCTGCTGTCACTGCTCTCTGGTACCCTCCTGAAGCATCTCAGCTGGGACTTTGCAGGGGTGCAAGGTGCAGGATGTGCCCCTGGTACCAGGGACAGCCTATTCCCCAGCAGCCATTAAGATGCAAAGCTCTTTTCTGTGTAGGAACCCGTCTGGGAGAGGCCAGTGGAAAGAGGGAATTTTTCCCCCCTGCCCGCCCCATCCTCTGCTTTGTATTTTCTGGAAGGGCCATTAATAACACATTACTCCTGGGCGCTAACAGTGGCTGTTGGGAAGAAGTGTTGTCCCTTCGACCAGGGAAAAAGCAAGGCCGAGGAGGGCAGCGTGGCTGGGAGGAGAGATCAGCCCCCTCTGCTCGCAGACGGCATGTTGCCGGCATTCCCGGTGTGTTGCCATGGCTGTGCCGAGATGGGGCTGCTTGTGCCAGCACTCAGGGGAGAAGTGTCACTCAGCGCTGTGCTGCGAGATGCCCAGTTACCTTGGCGATGCTTCTGGAAAAATCCCGGAGAGGAATTGGGATGCAGGGGGGATGTGCAGCAGGGAAATTGCTCTGGGGGGGGGTGGGAGCTGGAGAGGGAGCTGTGGATGGTGGGAGCAGTGGGGGAAAGCCGTCCCGGTGCACGAGGAGCCCCTGGTTAGCACAAAGCTGCCCTGGCTAAAGCGGGGTGGTGGCAGCGGAGGCAGGCGTGGGGCTGGGGGGTCTGCAACCAAGTGATGGATGGACTGGGATAAACCTGATGGAGCCGCACCACATCCGACGTTTGCACACATTAGAGGAGTGAGAGGTGACCTGGGATGGTGGGAGGGGGTACTCTTTGGTTTGAGGATTTGTGGAAAGAGGTTGGAAAACACATTGCAAAGAGGAGTTCTTTTTATCAGAAATGGCCAGCTGCATCCCTGCATGTTTCTCCAAACCTCCTGATCATCTGCCCTAGGCACAGCTTTCTTCTCCCTTAATCTCCTAGTGAATATTCAAAAATAGATATACTTGTAGCACTGGAAAAGCCTCTTTCAGAGTTGTTTCAGCACTGCAGAGAACAACCCTTAGGAAAGACACTCAAAAAATAAACAGCAGCTGCTGCCATGTTTCCCCCCTTCCTTTGTCACCCAGTTTGTGGAAACCTGGTGTACCACCGGTTCCCTTTCCCATCCGTTCATGGTGTTTCCCTGCCTGGTCCCACGGCAGTAAAGCCACGGGATGTCTGCACCCAGCTGAGCTGCTGCGTACTAGAAACCTGTTGTGCTGCAGCTTCACCCGTAGTGCCCGAGTGTCCGGCTGAAGGTTAGTTGGGGTATATTTGCATCAGGGCAGATGATCAGGAGGTTTGGAGAAACATGTCCTCTGTGGTCTCCAAGCCTTCTCCACCCAGCTTCCCTGCCCTTTGCTGCAGATGGTCCCACCGAAGGCTGAGCTGAGGCTCCCACCCTTGGAGCTCCCCGGGGAAGCTGCGCATATAGCAGAGAAATGGGCAGAAGTAGGATGTAGTGTTTCTAAACGTATGGGGTGATTAGAGGGGTTGCTGTGACCCTGCCATGGAGGTGTGCCGAACGCTGGCAGGTACCTGGCAGCGCACGTTCTGGGCCGGGTGGAAAGCTGCCTCAGTCACGTCAAGACTTGGATTAATTTACCTGCAGCGTTATTAGTATGTTGAATCTTGCATCTCAGCTGCTCACAAAGACCCAGTGTTTGACTTTTGGACCCAAAAGTTGTCTTGAGCTGATGTCGGCTTTGTAATGAATGAAACCTCTATGTCCGTAACGTGGTGGTGGGTGTCCCTCTCCCGTCTCCCAAGGAGCGCTGCTGGCTGATCCTCCTTTGCCTGTTAGAGCCGCCAATTGACCCGTCTGCATCCGCTTGGGTCGCAGCTGGCAGTCCTTTGCTGACTGGGATGCCAAGTCATTCGATAGCTCAAATGATTCAAAATCCAGCTGGGAGGATGGGTGGTGGCGTGGGAGCCAGGGGCACCCGTGTCCTGGGTTGGTGGGTGGGCTGGGGGGGCCACAGGGGTGCGAAGCCCCCCAGGGTGCCGGGATGCCTCGGTGTCCGCCAGCTTCCACGGGGATCACGCTATCCAAAATTGGAGTGATGAGTACGGGAGAAGGAGGAGGAGCGGAAGAGTATAAATAAAGCTTCTGGAAGGGGAAAACCCACCGAGAGGAGAAAATAGCAGCGCTGGCTTATTCTTTCCCCACCCTCCCTCGTACCTCTCTGCTCGTATCGTCTTTTAACTGTGCCGGCGGGTGCACTCCAGCTTCTGCACGCGTGTGTGCTTGTGTGTGCCTGCCCTTCCCCTAGCTGGGCACAGACTGGGCAGAGGGGGGTCTGGGGACGGGTTTTGATGCTTCGGTGCCACCGTCCAAATCATTGTGTCCTCATGTAGCACTGCCCTAGATCTACTCGTCTCAGTTGACAAATCAGAATGTCAATGGGCAGGATGCACCAAAACAAAAATGGCATTTAGGCCAAGTAACGCTAATGCTACTGACCTCACAAATAGACCTGGAAAACCCTGTTTTGAGCCCCAAAGTGACATCCTGCCAGTTAGCTTGTTTTATTCCAAAGCTGATGCATAAGAAAACTTAAGTTTTAATAGCCAATAATTACTATTCTGTTTAAAACATACACCGAGCGTTCATATTTCAAGCAGATGATAGTCAAACGGATCGCTGCTTGCTCACAGGCACCCGCCTGGTATCTCCCAGCCCAGATGCTGGAGGTGGGCAGCACTGGGCAGAGCCGCGCTGCCAGCGGTGCTGCGGCTGCCCGCGCCGGGAGGGCTCGGCAGGGCTGCCACCAGGACGGTGCCGTGCTTCTGCTCATCGTCACTGTAATGTGAATCCCGGGGCTGCCCGAAAAGCTTAACAGACTCAGAATATTTGTCAGTGAAATGTTGATCTGTCTTTGTCGAATGTTTATTTTTGCAGAAATCTGTGAGTATTGCTTATTGAATTTTTTTTCTCTTTCCCCTTCCTTTTCTCCTAGGATCCTGCAGGAATCTTTGAACTGGTGGAGCTTGTTGGCAACGGTACCTATGGGCAGGTCTATAAGGTAAGGGCTCCAGCTGAAGTGATCCTGTTTGCCTCGGCCATGCGTTGAACATGGAGCATCCCAGCACATCGTCTTGGCTAGGTTTGACCTGTTTCAGGCCTGACAAGAAGCCTTGCTGAACTCCGGCCTTTTGGTTTTGTGTGCAAGTACTGCGTAACACACAGAGCTCTTATTATAAGCAATTCATATTAGTTCTGAAACTGTCACTAAAAAATAAATCGCTTTTTTTTTCTCTTCCCCCAGTTGCTTTTTATTGATTATATGATGAGGAGGGAGTGAAAAGTCTGTGCTTTAATAGATAAATCTCGATCTCTTCTAAGAGCTGAGTTTATGGCTGCAGTAGGCTGCCAAATGAGTTTGCTACAGTCTAGTGCTCTGCTCACACGCAGGCTGGCTACCGCCCTTTCCACCGGCAGAAACCTGCTGTAAGAAAAAACACAACCGTCAATAGGCTTGCTTTAAATTTCTATAAACATCTGGAAGCAGCTCTCCAGATGAGAATAATGAGGGGGCTGTGGAGAACAGAATTTTAAACCCATTAACTTCTGTACAAGAATGTTTAAAATGTCCATCCTCTGCTAAATTACATCACCCGTCCTAAACACCTCTTAGCTTGGGGGATTTCCAGAATTTGTCATCTTGGTGGGTTTTTTTGTGGATGATTCTTGTGGGGTTGGGGAGGGATTGAATTGTTTCAAAGTCTGGGTTTATCTGCACTTAATATATTGGCGGGGAGATATTTCTCAGCACAGTTGCATGAGGAATTTGCCAAATATTTTGGGTCTGCTGGGAGACAACAGCTTCCCGGGCCCCATTCTCCAAAAACTTCTGTATGTATGGGCACAAGTTCTGTGTATACTTGTGTGTGTGTGTGCGCGCGCGCGCACAGAGATCCTATTTACCTGCCATGCCCATACTATCTTTTGACTATAAAAAAGAATATATTCATGTGCTTCTACTGTATCGCTTGGAAGGCATAGCTCTTGCCTGTCATGTGGTAAAAGACAACGAGCCGCCCCTGCTGAAGAGGAGAGAAGGGTGCTTAAAAAGCTACCTGTCGATAAATATTTGTTCTGAATTGTGATTTCACCATCCTCCTGCTGTAGGCTAATCCCATCAGTATGAGGATAGAGGGGTTGAAGTGAGCCAAAGATTAAGTGGAACTGCTGGAGTTTCAAGTGTGTGGATTTTTTAACTGGAATAAGTTTAAAAAAAAAACCAAACAAAAACAAAGGGACACCCCCCTCACTCCGCCAAATTGTTCTTATCAAGGTTATATTCCAGGGAGCCTTCCCCTCTGGTATTGGTTGTTTTTCCACCGTGCGCTCCCCATCACGAGAGCTCCCTTCTGAACTGTTTTTCTTCTCAGCTGCTAAAATAATGGTAGAGGGTGACCTAATTTTAACTGGTGCATATTTCTAACAATCAGTGGAAACTATGCGCCTTTAACGGCCTTTTGAAAGCGTCATGTTTTTGTGGAGAGCAGAAAAGGGAAATAAGCTAGCTGGTGCTGGCGCTGCTGGTTGCATGGCTCTGCTGATCGCGTTTCCTCTTGCTGTGTTTGATTCTTTTGGTGCGTCTGTGTGTTACCTTATGGGGTGAAAAAAACCGCCCAGAAATGTTCAAGTGTAGGCTTTCTGGGAGTTGAACACTTCTGTGTTCCCTTTTTGTCCTGCTGTACAAGAAAAAATCCTCCTCTTAATGGTTTTTAACTTGCTGGAGTAATCAGGTTGTCCTCGGTGTGATTCACTTGGTACCGGTGCCAGACGGGATGGTGACGGGGGTGGAGGGGGGAACGCTGCTATCCAAACCGAATTAGTAAGTATTGAGGTATGAGTTCAGGCGAAGACTGACTTCAGAGCTCTCTTAAACTGAAGTCTTGGAATAGCACCCGCTCTATAAACAAAAGGAGACTTTGATATAAAGCATACATAACTGTTTATGGTGTCCCACCCTAAAACCCAGTGCAGAAATAAGATCTCTGCGATTCTTTTCCTCCAGATACCACCGCTGTATTTATCTCTCACAGCAAAACAAATGGATCAACTTTCAAGACACACAGACCTTCTGGCTCCCTCCTAAAACAGCCTTTAGAAGTGGTCCATACCTAGGAGCAGTGTCTTCTGTAATTAGATGCTTGTTCCGCTGACATTTCAAACCCATCTCAGGCGAGGCTGGGGTATTCCCACTCCTCTATGCTGGTGCCACTGGAGGTGCACCATTGCTGTCCTCTTAGAGGCTGTGTGTGCCTCTGGTTGTATTTTTGGACGTGGAAGGAATAATTCATTGTGGTGTCTGCTCTGGTGCTGGCTTCCTAGCCTGAGCTTTGCAGGTCCATCCCCTGCGCTCTCTGCCGGGAGCCTGGTGAGCATCACCTCCCCTTCACATGGCTGGTCCCTTTCTGAAGCAAGAAGAGTAACTCTCGTTGGGAAGAGGCAAAAGTGAGATGCTTATTCCAGGCAGGGGAGAGCATCTTATATTTGTGTGCTGCGAGACTGCTGAAACAGGACGGCAGCCCTGATGTTTCCCCCAGAAAACCTGACTTAGTACCCAGCTCTAACACTGCCACATGGCTGTATTTGTGTTGGAGACTACAGGTGTCCTGGTGGTAACCAGCTGGCCTGCCCAGGACCTGGAAGGACACATGCAAGGTGCAAACCTCCCATTGATCCCATGGGATAAAGTGCACGGTTACGTTGTTCTGACGACTGAATGATAGCACAACCCTACAGGGTGGGTAGCCTGAGAAATGTCTGGTAGTACCACAGTAACGGGAGCGTCACGAAAAGGAATGGTTTGGGCCGCTTAAAGAATGCCCTCCAATGGTATTAGCAAAAATGATTTAATAGGAATTTATATAAAAGCACGACTTCACAGAATTCAATGGCAAAGTTCACTCTCTTACTTAATACATGGATGAAACGTACACAGGAAAATTAAGTTAGAAACAAACTAGAATAATGTATACAGAAACAGAAGATGCAATAGGGTAAAAGAGAAACATACAAAGGAAAATAGGGTTAGAATTGATTTATCGTGATTGGTACAGAGATTGGGAATGTAAAAAGGTAGGGGAGACCCTCCTGTTGAGTCAGGAGGTTCAGAGAAGACCCCCTTGCTTTCTAAACTCCTGTCGGAGTCTGGGTGCGGCTGGATCAACTCCTAGTCCCAGACTTGGTCAACGGTTTATATCTAAAGCAATTATAGTAGCAGCGTGAGATTCATTCACAGTTGAATAAAGTTCACAATGGTGACTTACGTATAGATTTGAAAAGCAATATTTGTAATATACTTGCTACAGAATATTTAGGTTAGTACATACACACATGCACAAAGACACTAAGAGATATACATATAAGCAAGTAAAAGAGGTATACCTGTTAAAAATTCCCCTCGAGTTCAGTGAAAATATTCAAGTCAAACGCTTCCGCATCTTTCTCGAGGGGCGAAGGGTTGAGCCTCAAGGAGCGGAAAGTATCAGCCCAAGTCTTGCCGTCTTTCGGTGACAGACCTCCGATCTTTGCAAACTGAAGAGTTTGCGAGCTCTGAGAGCTGTCCCGCTCGGGGGAGATGCCGGTCACAGCTGCTGCGGTCCAGGAGAGCTCAGAGGGTCTCACTTAGTACTGCTGTTTATAAGTTTGTGAAATGATTGGGCTATAGTCATCAGCAAATTACTGGGATTCCAGTAGCGCTGGTACCGTTTCACATGAGTTACGATTCAGATAAGGAAGGCTCCAAGGCTGTCAGAGAATGAGTTAAGATTCAGATACGGGATGTTCCAAGGCTGTCGGGAGAGGACTGAGATATGTCCCAAGGTTGTCAGGAAATGACTCATTATCCCTATTCCCGTCCCCAGCCTCTGCCAGGCAGGAGGAGTCCTTGGTATGGTCAGTGCAGCTCCCTGTCTTAGCCATGCAAGAGTTCCTGGCGCGGTAAAGGGACACTTAACCGCCCAACTCATTACACTTCTGCTAAGGCCTAACGAGTTTGTAGATCAGCCCAGAGATGAGGAAGAAATGCAGCACCACAGGGAGCCATCAGAGACCAGTGGTTCAGGGAGCCAACCTCAGGATCCACTATGTTGGAGAGCTTGGGGAGACCCTGCCACAGCACATGCCTTCTCCTTGCTCGTAGTTAAAAAGAACGTATTGGCCAAGTCCGGTGCACGCTAAGAGCTCCCAGAGGGAATGCACCCCTCCGCTGCAGCATGGGCACCGGGATGAAGCTCGCTGCCCATCTTGCTTTGATCCTGCTTTCTGGGTCATGATCCGAAGATCCCTTTCAGGTGGTACCCAATGCTTCTGTAAATCAAAGCCTTGTTCTCTAAGGCTTGTGTTCCAGAGGCAAAGGTAACTTGTTCGGATTGATCTCTGTATTTTCAAGTAAAGGCCTTTCTTTGCTCAGGACTGCAGGTTAAAACAGCACTTTGGTGCTTCCCAGCTCTGGCCATACCCCAGTGACATCCGAATGCTGCAGGAGCCCTCAGCAGCAACCCGCTCTGCTCTCTCTCGTCTAACCCCAACCACAAGCTCTTCACTTTGGATAATTGCAGAGAGAAATAACGTTCCTCGTTTGCTGCTTAACAATCTCTTGTGAATAGCTTGATTTTTATTTTAATGAGAGACCGCACCGTTGATGGTTTATCTCTCTAATTGAATTGGAAGCTTTTCTTTATTTTCTAATAATCCTGCATCTAATGTTACAGATTGTAAACTGTTTTTGATAAAAGGCTGAGAGCTTGCTAGCTCTTCTGCCAGACATTGTTGCAGTAGTGGATTTTTGTGTCCTTGGATTTTCTTTTTTTTAATTTAAGGTGTTTAAAGAAATGGCTAACAGGCATCAACAGGCATACGGTGAGTTGGACTTGGGGAATTGAGCCATTGCCTCGCTGTTTTTTAGCAGGTCGCTGATGGCTGAAAGCAAAACTGTAAACACAAAAATCACTAAGACTCTTTAGAGAATTATCTAAAGTGTGAGGAAATGCTGCTTTTATGTTCCAG